TAAACAGTACATGACGTATTTCCTGGTAATAAACTCCTGTCAGCTGTTTAGGAGTCTGATGGCAGAGGGAAAGAAAGAGTTTTTCAGTCTAGTGGTCCTACATTTCACACTTCTGAACCTCCGGGCAGAGGGTAGGGAGGCGGACAGTCCGTGCTGGGGGTGGGTGGGATCTTTGAGGATGGAGGCAGCTTTCCTGTGTGTACAGTGACCTGTAGCACTTTCCAGAGGGGAGGAATTCAAACAGTTTGTGTCCAGGGTGTGAGAGGTCTGCAGAAATCTTCTCTCTCCTTTTGACCCGTGAGGTGTACAGGTCCTCCATGGAGGACAGGCTGGCACCAATGATTCTTTCTGTAGTCCTGACTGTCTGCTGGATTCTGTTCTTGTCCCATTTGGTTGCTGAGCCAAACCAGCCAGTGATGGATGCGCAGAGAACAGACTCGATAATTCCTCTGTAGAACTGTATCAGCAGCTCCTGGGGCAGGTTGAACTTCCTGAGCTGGTGCAGGAAGTACATCCTCTGCTGTGCTTTGTTGGTGATAGTATTGATATTGGATGTCCACTTCAGGTCCTGGGAGATAGTGGAGCCCAGGAACTTGAAGGATTTCACTGCTGATACAGTGTCGCTGTGGATGGTGAGTGGACTCTTCCTAAAGTCCACTGTCATCTTCACTGTTTTGATCATATTCAGCTCCAGGTTATTGTGACTACACCTCAAGGGCAGCTTTACGCTGACTCGTCACCTTCTTGAATGAAACCGATGACCAGTGTGTCATCTGCAAACTTCAGGAGCTTTACAGTGGGGTTCCCTGCGCTGCAGTAATTGGTGTAGGGAGAGAAGAGCACGCATCCCGAGGGCGTGCCTGTGCTGATTGTCCAGGTGCTGGATATGATTTTTCTCAGCCTCACCTGCTGCTTCCTGTCTGTCAGAGAGCAGGTGATACACTGACAGGTGTGGGCAGGCACAGCGAGCTGGGTCCATTTGGAGTGGAGGATGGCTGGGATGATGGTGATGAACGCCGAGCTGAAGTCCACAAAGGGGACTCCTGCATAGGCCCATGGGGAGTTGAGATGTGGCAGGATGTAATGCAGTTGCCATGTTGCATCATCTACTGACCTGTTTGCCCAGTAGGCAAGCTGCAGGGGCCCCAACAGCGGGTCTATGATATCTTTCAGGTTGGCCAACACCCGTTTTTTTCAGAGCACTTTATAACTACAGATGTAAAGGCAACAGATCTGTAGTCATTCAGTCCACTGATGGAGGGTTTCTGGGGAACCGGGATTACGATCAAGTGTTTGAAGCAAGAGGGTACTTCACAAAGCTCCAGTGACCTATTAAAAATCCATATGAAGGTGGGAGCCAACTGATTAGCACAGGCTTTCAGACAGGAGGGAGTCACCCCGTCTGGCCCTGGTGCCTTTCTGAACTTTTGTTTTGCAAAAAGACCACACATATCTTTTTCACAGATCTTCAGGAGTGGGGGGGCTGGGGGGAAGAAAGGTGATCAGAGAAGGAGCAACTGTCTGCCAGATGATGGTCTTCCACAGTGGGGTGGGGGGGTCTGCAGGTCTGCAGCAGCAGCTTGAAAGCTGTTCCAGTCAGTAAAGGCACTGTTCTAACCAAAGGCTTTGCTGTTTTGAGTTTCTGCCTGTAGGTTGGGATGAGGTGTATCATGCAGTGGTCAGCTAGTTTGAGGGCTGCAGAAGGGACTGAGCGATAGGTGTCCTTAATTACAGTATAGCAATGGTCTAGTGTGTTTTTGTCTCGAGTGGGACAGCTGACCTGATTTTCTGTTTGTGCAGTTCGGGGGTTAGGTTTGCTCTGCTGAAATCCGTTACATACAAATGATCTGTTCAGCTAGGAGCAGCTGTGCATTTTTGGCACAAGCCTGAGGTGGAATATACACACTGACCAGGATAAACAAGAAGAACTCTCTTGGTGAATAAAATGGAGTTGCAGTTGATGAATAGTGCCTCCGAGTCTGTGTTGCAAGTTTTCTCTAACACTGTGACATCATTACACCGATCTTTGTTTATGTAGAAGCAAATCCCACCTCCTGTTATCTTCCAGGTTACTCCATTACACAGTCCATTCTGTTGGTTTGGAACCCTGAATGGCCCTGCCTGGGACCAAGTCACTGAGCCATGTTTTGACAAAGCACAAAGCCGCAGAACATGAGAAGTCAGGGTGAGTCCAATTGACATGAAGCAATTTGTCAATTTTGTTGGCCAGAGCATAGACAGCAGCAATCAATAACCCTGCTGTCTTAGCTCCACCAGGGCGCCAGCTCTTTTACCTCTTTGGCGGCCCATCCAGGCTCCAGTACTGGCTTTTTAAAATGCCGAAAAATAATTTATTATCCATAAAAATGGGAGAGCATGAGTTCAGAGTGAGCTCTTGTATATTTGGGAGTTTGTCTCTGGTAAAGGTAAACTGAGATAGGTTGCAGGAAACCAACAGTTCTGTTGGTTGCACAAACAAGCACAGAAGTCTCTACCTACTTACATCCTTGGAGCTAGCGAAGACACTGTGGATGTTGTATATTTATTATGGAAATGTTCCTGGAGATATTCCCAAAATGTTGTACGTTACGTATGTGCTAACACTAATCATTGCAAGTTAGAGTGCTTACTCAATGAGGGTCAGTACAACACTGGATTTAATCTACTTCCAAACAGAAACTCAAGAGTGGATCTATTCATATTGTCCATGAGTTACCTCAAGTAGGTGTTGCTGTTTTAAAGTTATTTTACTGCTTGTGTATGAATTTATCCTGTCCAACCTAGCCACATTAGCAATGTAATGCTGCGCAGCTAATGTGGCTAACAGTAGCTTGTATTACAGGGCAAACGGTAGAAACAGGTTAAGGCTAGTAATTTTGATTGACAGTCAGAATGTACCAAAGAATTTGTGTGAAACATTTTTAGCCAAATTTCTTATGAGTAGGTGGTTGGTGGTAACTTGGCTTGCTTATCTAGCATTGTTGTAACAGCACTAAACTTTGTGTAAACATTACTGGTGTTTCTCTTTTAGACAACACTGCCCAGATGTGACAACAACAGAGGTGTGACAATAGCAGGCTCCCACTTGAACATCCGTGGTTGTTAGTTTTTGGTTTAGAAGCAGTTATTATGGAGAAATTTATGAAAGAAATGCAGCTAAGTGTGGCTAAGAGAGATGAGACTAATATCAGAAACACACAGTTAACCTTGTTCTGTTTACTTTCCGAAGTCCAGAAGAGTCTAATGATGTATAATATGTGTACCACTGTTCTGCAAAGAAATCATGTGAACTGTAGTTTTTCTGATGCTGAAAATCAAAATTTTTAATTATTCTTGTTAAAATATATAGAATGCCACAGGGTCACTGAAGCTACTGTAACAGAGGCTAACTGGATGTAACGACATGGCTTTGGTTCTATATTATGCCTTTCGCATTATTACATGTAACTGGGGTCTCTGATGGACTAGGCTAGGATTCAGCGCTCTCGCCACTGTGAAGGGCATCCGGCGTAAAACACATGCCAAATTTCAACATCCTCACTGTGAAAGTGTGTGTGAAAGTGACAAACGGACAGAGGCATTATTACAGGTAAACCACATGACAGTGAAATAATAATGGTAACTTGATGATAGGCTAATGGCATATAATGTTATCAGTGATTTGAGATAAACTGATGATAATGTAGAATGAACCTAGTTTGTAACGTGCAGCTCATACAGGTTACAAAGTAGCAGAGAGTATTTTTCCTTATTGAAAAGCATAGGCTGAGCAAGAAAAACAAATTTTCTGTCCTTGTTTTATGATTGATTCAATGGTCACACATTCCATTGTCTTTGTTTTTCTTCCTTCTCGGTAGTAAGTACAGCGGTACACATTCCTCTGCAGACACCATTTGTGTACTGCTTTTGTCATGGAAATGCTTTGAGCTTATGGTGCAAGTTTTTACGAGTCTTATTAGACCCTGGCTGAAAAGAAATTAGGTAGAGTACCTTTAAGTAAATATACTTCTCCCACCACTGCTTCAGTGTGAGTACCAGATTAAATTCTTTAAACTAAAGTATTCAGATTATTGAGGTAAGAGATTTGATATTTAATTGTTTTTGTAAGTCAAGTTCCAGTTGTTATATTTATCTTTCAGTTTGCGTGACCTACCATGAGGCCTCAGTGTGGTGGTGCAAAATCACTTTAAAGCAAAAAAAAAAAGAAGTTTTTTCCTGCTAACTGTGTGCACGGAGTCTGGTTCTAAGAAAATAAAGAAAGCATTTAATTCTTGCCAGACACCCCCCCCTCCACACACACACACACACACACACACACACACATACGCATGTCTTTCTGTCTTTGTGAGAACACTTGGCATGATGCATTCAGTAGCACCTAACCCTAACCATGATAACTAAATGCATAACTCCAGCCCTTACCATAACTGAATTCTAAACCAAACCCTAAAGCCAAGTAGTCTTAGCCCTCAAAAAGGCCCTTTGAAGTGTACGTATCGGCTAAAATGTCCTCACTCTGTTGCGAAAATTCTTTCTTGTCCTCAGTATGTAGCAAAGACAAGAACACACACACACCACTCAGTCTTTCCACCAGCTGCTGCTATCTGACAGGCTGATGATGACTGTGTTTTTTTTCCCGTCCTTGTTTCAAAGTGTGTTGGAGCAGATGGCGTGGAGAGGCAGAGTGGGGGAAATGTGCGTTAGAGACTGCTGGGGAATGTGCCAAGTGTGTGTGTGTGTGTGGTTTTAGTTCGCGTGCCTTCTCGCTGCCCTCTGCCCTTCATGGCGCCAGTTCCACTTCCCCTCCACTCTAAACATCTGGTGTCTGGGACTTTCAGAACACACACACACCCAGACGCACACAGATACAAAAGCACTCAGAGAGAAAGCCTAATCTAGTTTATATCTAAAAGAGCAACATGACTGCTTTAATGTAAAGCTTAATGTGACAGCTGCACACTGCGACTCATCCAAATCAGCGGGACCTTTGGGTCATGTCCCCGTATGGGCTTGTCAAAAATATTACTGACATATAGGCATTGTTTTTGTTTAATAATTCTGAAAGTGTGAAACAAAACCAATGCCTATTTTCCAGTATTCCTATCAGTTTTATCCATATGGCATTTGCTTTTCTGAGCTGTCTTTCTTTTGACAGTGATATAACACACACACACACACACACACACACACAACACAGGTTTGCTTATGCTGATTTGGGAATGTGTGTAAAAATTTAGAAGCATTAACTCTTAACTTTCAAGGTCGACTACCATTGGGAAATGAGGCACTGATTAGTTGGGTGCTCTGGCTGAGGAGAATTTTTTGGTGCATTCTGTAAATTTCCAAATATAAGATCAAATAAAAATGTACAAACAACTGCTGGAGCATTTCCAGGTTAAACACTGATCACAATACATCCATTTCCATACCGATAAGTATAGCAGAATTATTGATTGGAATTGATCAGTGAGTAAACAGTATGTTCAAAAGAGAAGTGTTGTTTTACTGACAGAATTAGTGCAGTGACTGCCATTCTACATTCTACTGAATGTATTAAGACAACAGGTGAACATGGAGAATGTATTGCATTTGTATAAACAAAGGATTTAAACAAACAGGAATGCTGCTTGGTAAAATGTGATCAAATAGAATTAGAAAGCAGTCGATATTAGAAATAAAGGCTTGGTTCATTTGCTTCACTCTGTAGCTGCCATAATGTGAAAATGTACAGTAGGATAAGCAGAGACTTAATGGTAAATGGACTGTATTTTATATAGCGCTTTTCTCACAGTGTGTTGCACTGGCCAAAGCGCTCAATGCAGCCTCACCTTCCGCTTCTTGCTCCTGCCCTCGGCCTGCAGGGTCCTGGTACACTGTTCCACACACTGAGAGAAGCTCAGACTGCTGTGATCTGAACTGTAGTCCATCTCAGCCAACTGAGCCAAAGATAGGATGTAGTTGCAGGCTATACGTAGTATGGCCAACTTTGATAGCTTCTGCCCATATGAGTAACATGGCACCTGGAGAGAGAAGGAAATGCAGGGAAATGAGCAGTGGAAATTGTCTACATGCTTAATTGCAAACTGATTGGGCTGCAGGTACTGCCTCATGCTACCAGTAGTGACAAGTCACTAGTAAAGCGCAGACCTTGAGAAGAATCAGTCAGGAAGGAGCAAGAGAGAGCATTCGTCTCTTTGACAGTTATGGACTGGACTGTATTTTTATATAGCGCACATTTCACAGTGTGTTACACTGGCCAAAGCGCTTTACAGGAGATCATACACCATTCACCCACCGATGACGAGAGGCTGCCGCACACTGGCGCCAGTCGAACCACCGGGAGCAATTTGGGGTTCAGTGTCTTGCTCAGGGACACTTAGGCATGCGGAGAGACCGGGAGTTGAACCACCAACTTGGTTAGAAGACGACTGCCCTACCTCATGAGCCACAGCCACCATCTTTCTTTTGCCTCTCCACTGCACCTGTTGTCACTTTCATTTGCATCAAAGCAGGTGAAACTGTTTCACAACCATTTGAGCTTCCTATGTGGACAGATTGATACCCCTGAACTTTAACTGACTTGGTGTTATACTGTGATGATCAAGTGTTCCCTTAGTTTTTTTTTTATTTCTTTGAACAGCTTATATCAACACACACACTGCTTTGACACACTTGCTGAATATTGTTGGGAAGAGAGGCTGCCCAAAAGATATGGTCTGATATTCATAGGCTACACTATGAAAAACCAACCCCAGAGATCTTCTGTGTGCCTTATACTGTATATGCAAACAGTATGTGAAAAATAAGCATCTTTCAGATCTACTGATGTGAACCAGCTGCTGGAACGAATTGAATGGAATGACGCTGTACTTGAGCATTCTGAACTTGTACTTTCTAAGATGGGAATTTATCTAATGTAAATCCAGAATTGTATATAATGAACCTACGCTTTTCAGAATGAGAAAGTACTGGGAGTAGAAGCCCCGTTCATTTCCTCTTCTGGCACAATATGAATTGCCTACTGGGTTAAGAGAGAGGACGTTTTGTTTTCTAAAGCTTTTGTTGCTTCCCCTGTGGCCTACGAAAAGACCACCCCACTGAAACTGGTTTTGCTGCAAACTGAAGAATTGTGACAAATGCTTGGTGAGTGCTTTACATGCCACATTTCTCTTTTCCTCTTGGGAGGAGGGTACAAGTAGGGGGTTGGGGTGTACATAGAGAGAGTGAAGGGCTCCATCTTGCCTTGGAGGGTGGGCCCCAAAGAAGTGAGGGTGGGCAAGCAGTTGGGATGGAGATGGTATGCACTGCTCTACAGGGGCTAAGAGTAATTTATTTTTGCTGTAAAATCTGAGTAAATTCAGTTAATAATTTCAACTTAAAGTAATAATTAATTTAAAGTACAGATGAAGTAAAACCAAGTTACTTAAAAGTGACAAATTAACACAAAATAATGACCGCTCCCCTCTGTCACTATTCAGCAATTTAAAAAATCAAAAATTGTTATAGGGTTTGTGCTCCTAATTCCATGACTTCCAAATGATGTGTAAAGTGCATATGGTCAAAAACAACATGCCCCTTATTTGAAGTAAAAAAAAAAAAAAAAGCTCATACGCTGACAGAACAATAAAGAGACTCCTCAGATGCCAAAAAAGGACATTCAGCTCAGCTAGCTACACTGCCACCGGACAACTCTGTAGAAATTTTAAGCTGCGGTGTTCATCTACACAACAATGCAACAGTGAGCACAAAAAGCTGCACTGCCAAAGATGGTAAGGGGGCATGTTTGTTATTGTGCAGTCCATACAAGTTGTCAGCAAACACATGTAACGCCATCTCATTAAATAGTAAGAGTCACTGCTCAGTGGTGTAACCAGGTACTGTTGAAATGAATGCAACCATCCATCGTTTATACTGGTTCTCCTGAACAGGGTCGCAGGGGGGGCAGGAGCCAATCCCAGCCGATATTGGGTGAGAGGCGGGGTACACCCTGGACACGTCGCCAGTCTTTCACAGGGTTAGGGTGACACTTAGAGACAGACAACCACACACACCCACAGTACGGGCAATTTAGAGTCACCAATCAACCTAAGCTACATCTCTTTGGACTGTGGGAGGAAGCCGGAGCGCCCAGAGAGAACCCACACAGGCACAAGGAGAACATGCACAGAAAGGCCCCGGGCCAGCCCGGGCTCAAACCCTTCTTGCTGTGAGGTGACAGCGCTAACCACTGCATTAACTACTAACCACCAGTTCATTCAAATGTTGGTTGATGACAGTCAACAGTCTTCCTATTCTACACTGCAGGCTAATGTATTTTAGCCCACAAAATTATTGACGATTAGTCAGTTTTATCAACATCCCTAGTAATTATCTTTCTCCTTGCCAAGTAAATCCATTTTGACATCTTGTTTTTCCTCTTGACACTTAAATGACACTGTGATATAATCCAAGCGAAACAGACATCTTCATGTTACCTGCAGTGTAGATGCAGCTCCTGCACATTTACTGTTACAGATCTGATTCTGTGTACATCGTTGTGTTTGAGCTTGCACTTTGGTGTGTGTATTTTCAGTATGGACTGTGAGTTTTACCTGTTTCCTCAGTGCCTCAAACGCAGCACTGATGGTGTGAACACGTGTCCTCTCCCTGGCATTGGCTAGAAGTCTCCTGGTCTGCTGGATGGCTTTGACCTCTGGAAGACGCCCAGGAACATCAGCACCCATCCCAACCCGCTTCCTGTGAGATGCCTATAACAAAAAAAAAAACACAGTGTATCACCCAGCTTCATTCTTGAAACTACTCAGTGTTTGCTCCAGTGTTAAGATGTGTTACCTCACTGGGCTGGCCGATATTTTTTAACTGAATGTAAAACATTTGGATTAAGTAGAAGAAATAACTGCAATGAATACATAAAGGAAACGATGAGGTACAGTAGTCATTCACAATGTCAGCCTGTTCCCAGTTCAGCAGAACCAGGTTGCTACACTCACCAGCCACTTTATTAGGTACACCTGTACATTTGTATGGAAGTGCAACACTTTTGCCTTAACATCTGTGTTTATGAAGCTCAAAATGTTTGTTTTTGGTGAAACTGTCGTAAATTTACTGTCAGCAATTTACCAAACACCTACTGAAAATTCAGAACATTTATTTGCAGAAACATGACATCTTTGTTGTTTTGCCTGTTTTGTCCCCCGTTCACCCCTAAACTAATAAGATTTACAGTCATACACACCTTGAAAACACAAAACAAACAAAGCTGAAAGCTGAAAACAAATGCAAATTAAACAAAAGCTAATGTGACAGTCAAACAGAGGTCTGCTGAAAAAACGCGATCAAGACATCCTGTTTGATGTTTGATTAGCTGCTAACAGTTGATGAGTGTTGCACATCGAAAACAAGCAAAATACCTTAAATCACCTCAAAAAGAGAGACTGCACTTTTAATTCAACCACGTGTTCATTCTTTCAACGAACATATTAATCCACTTAGGCTATAAAGTGTGAGAACATAGCGAGCACAGAGTCCCAGACGTGACATTTTCAACTTGAACTGATTATCAAAATCACTACCAATTGATATAATATGAATTAAAGGTGCATTAACTTTTACACACAAAATGGCACCGGACTTCCCCTTCCATAACATTCTGCTGCTACAGCACTCTTGCTGTTATTCTCACTTTTTAAAACAGTTTTCAAAATACAGCCTGTAAATTAGACCCATCTGTCACCTAGTGAAGGATTCTAAGCCTTTTTTATTTTTTTTATTTTTTACTGTAAGTAGCCATATCAAACACCCAGCTTTGGAGCACTTGTCCATGGTAAAAGTCCAAAACAATGACTGCCAGAACAAAGAGGTTGCACTCTTTTGGACCAAGAGAGTGGAGAAAGGAAAGAACATAAACCAGGATTAACATCATTTTGACCTTTGTAGATGGAGAGAATTAAAAACAGCCAAATGACTCAAATTGGATTCAGATTTAGCATTCTTCCTTCTGGGTGCATTAGCATCTAAAGCCAGTGGGTTTGTTTTTATAACATCAGTGACATAGTATGGTCACAATTATACCTTTGTATTAAATTAAAATGGTTTTAATTAATGGGTAATACGAGCTTGTGCAAAATTGGTGCTTTGTATCACATTAGCATATGTCCCTATTGGACATAATACATTCAAGCTGCAAAAAGACTTTCTATTAGAGTGCCAAATGTACTCATTAGTCAGCTAATGAGAGCTTCAAACTGGAGACTGTTTTGTACAGTTTTTCGCAACTAGACATTCATAGTTGATGTCATCACTAGGAAACAGGATGTAACGGGATGTGTAAAGAGTGGTTAGCAGCAGCTTATTGTGTCAGGGTCTCACTGACCTTCTAGGGTCTGAAAGGAAATAAGATGGAGTATCTTAAATAATTAATTTCAACTGTCATTTCTATAAATGTTTTTCTAGGTAAGTCTCATAACTTGTTCTTCTTTTCATTGACGGTTCACATATTTACCTTAGGTGACTGGACCTCAGGCTCCACATGTTCGTGACACTGGGAGGTCTGGGAGGCTCTGGAGGCAGGCAGAGATGCAGCTTGCCCTGACAGAGAGGGTGCCAGGGAGAAGGCCTGGTGGTTAGGTGAGTGGCTGTGGCTGCTGCTGTTTGAGGCTGACAAAGGGAAAGTGGAGCGGAAGCCCAGTTTGAGTCTGTTTGACAAAGGCTGTGAGATGGCCGTGGGCCAGTGGGAGATCTCTGAACTAGCAAATGGAGAGACAGGTGACTGAGGCAGAGTGGAAGTGATCGCAGGCATGTTAATGCCAATTCTCATGTCTATAGCACCACTCTGAGCTTCAGCCATGCTGCTTTCTGGAAGTCCTGGCAGAATCCCAGCAGTACTGGCCATCACCTCCTGTGACATCATCGGCTGTCCTTGCGGTGGAGTCAACCTGCTGACATTACCTGCCTCCATCTGGGTGTCATCTACAGACACCAAAAAATCCACTGGATAGGGCTCCATCCTCTGAGGCTGAGGCCCACTGAAAATCCTTTTAGGCTCGCAGGACTTTCTCTTGAACTTCTTGTTATTGTCTGGCTCAGAAATCAATACTGGGTTTTTATTAATGGATCTATTCCACATTTTACTCTGTGGATGAGGATTCTTCATTTTCCAACAGTGAGTGTAACTACAGTAACAAGCTGTAGTGAAATATACTGTAACACCAAAACTAATTTCAGCTATGCAAAGAGGAAGGAAAACTGAACTATCAGTATCAACGGAGTCTTCAAAACTGTCCAACAAAATGTTTCATTCACTACATAAGATTGAAATTCATTAACTGGAAGCATTACCAAAAAAAAGAAGACAAAAGGAAGTCTATGTAAAACTTTTCAAAACCAGCATGTGTACTGTTCAGTAAGACACATATCAAACCCTGCAAAAACCCTACCTTCGTGATAAACCTTCAGCTGCCAACTGTGTAACACAAGCTGTTCAACTGCACTGATGGAAGCTGCACAGCCGTGTGTTACATTAACTTAACTGGTTTTCTGGGACTCCACTCTTTCTGCATCGCAGCATGCAGAATAATCCACATTAGCACCAAAGGTTGTGTAACATCTGCTATTCCACACAAGTTGTCTCACTGGATCAAGACTTGGAGAAAGATTTTCCTTAGCTGTGAAGAATTCAGTCTGTGCGAGCAGTCGAGGTTTATGCCTCAGAATCCTACAGTGGAGCTGACTGAGCTTGGCTCCAGTCAGTCTGCATAGCAGCACTGTGAGTAACCCACACTGATACACACACTGAGCACAAACAGGCTGCAGTGGGGCTCCAGCTGCTGAACAAAATAATGGGAACAGCACATGAAAAGGACAGCAGTTCTTCACACACAAAATCACAGCTCCAAATGCTGTCACATTGAGCAGTCATGTGATATGGAACAGCTGTGAAACTGCTCTGTGACCACAGGGGACAACTTATTGAATTAGTTACAGAGGTAAACCAAAAATAACTTCATTGTTGGGAACAGTCACAGATGGTAATATATTTCAAAGAGAAAAACTTCAGTTAAAACTGGTGAGCTAATAAACTCCATCAAACCTCTATGAAAATGTCTCAAGGTGCCAAGGTTTGATTGAAACTGTATTATTCCTTGATCATAGTGTCCCATACTTGCTGCCCTGGTAATGGTCCATCCCTCAGTGAAGCTCAGGGGCCTGTCTTGAAGAAAGCTCCGATGTCACGGTTCCACATCAAAATGTACAATGGGACATCTGGTGCTCAGTGAGCTGGCTCCACTGGACTGAGTGGCTACACTAAGTTCCTCCTTATCCATACATTAATGATAGTTCATTAGTCCATATTCTCAGTAGACACTTTTAGAGCTCCAGGTCTGCTCCTCTCTCTCCGTCTCTGCCGGCTGCAGTGGTCACGAAGCCTGCCGTTAGAGGACAGAGCAGACAGAGTGTATCAAAGTAAAAGGGGCTCACTTTCCTCTAAGTCGGCTGGCGTCAGACTGGCTGCCCCCACCCCTCCCCCCAGACACACACAAACACACACACACAGACTGTCCTCTACTCAAAGTTACAGCAGCGCCACTTACTGGTGTATAGCAGGCACCAACTTTGTAAGTATGTCAAAAATAACACACTTTAATCACAATAATCATAAATAGATGGAAGCATACTAAGTATACTTTAAAAAGTATGCTTTAGTGAACTTTTTAAAAACAGGGTCAGTATGTCCTCCATCCAGTCTGTGTGTCTGTGCAGTACCGTGTTGGACAGTAGTCAAATCCATGTGCATTTGGCAGTAGCTCACTGGTAGTTCAACTACATTCATGTTTGCATAGTGATTCAAGAAGTTAAGTAACTTTTTTGCCATTTTTGTAGTTAACTACTGAAGCTACAAACAATTATGGAAAAAATTTACGTAATGATTTTTATTTTACCATGCAACACATGTTGGCAAGGACATTGTCAATGCTAAACAGAACTGCCTTTGAGAGACTGCTGATGTGTTGCATAAACACGGGATAGACCCATCATTTAGACCAGCGATCAGGTTCATACTGTTTATAAAGGTGCAAACTGAAGATGATTTTAGTTTTTAAAACTCAGTGTTCATCATCATCATCCTGGACATCTATCACTCCAAATTCATCCAGCTCACTGTGCCTGCCCACAACTGTCAATAAAAGGAGGCAGGAGGTGAAGCTGGGGAAAACCACATCGAGCATCCAGTCAGTCAGTACAGACATCCTCCAGGGATGTGTACTCTCAGAACAGTGGAGATACCATACTCAGCAGCATTGTATCAGCAGTAATCTTCAGGAGGTGAAGTGGACATTATTGTCAAACCACCAGGAGGCCAGTAGGGGCTGTTGAGAAGCTATTGTCAACCCACTGGGTAACTGCGTCGTCATCGACCCACAGGGGAACTGGGGTGGCGATGGCATCATCATCAAGAGACAAACTGAGGTGGCAATGGAGTTGTCAACCCACTCGGATACAGGAACTGACGGGAATAACCCACAGACAGGGACAGGATCAAAAGTGGTGCCGGTGGCTTCGTCTGACATACAGACAGGGACAGGAACAGATGGGACTTTTGTCAGGGAACTGGACTGCAGAGAGTCTGGGTAGCCATACAGGTGGCTAAGGTGCAGGCAGGGTCTGAGGCTCTGAGACACCGAGGACAGGATGACTGGGGATGCTGCTTGGCAAGGGGGCCTTTTAGTTATTAAGCACAAACACTTGGGGCAGACTTTTCCTGCTTGGTAATGCAGCCTTTGTTCTGGTTTGTTGAAAGTGAAAGTTTCCTAATTGGCACCTATACAGAACCACAGCCAGGATTTTAGAAAGCTGAGTCCCATTACACCACCACCAGATCATTTAATTTTTCTTGGCCTAAAAACATCAGATTCAGTGTATAAAATATTCACCATGAATAAACATCCTAATGTTGCTATAATCTCCAAAATTCACAAAAATAAACACCCCGTTGTGTGTTTGTATATCTCTGTGACAGTATGCTTTACAAACACTCGGGTTACAGAAGCTTGGTGAATGACTTTCTTGTTTATGGAGAGGAGAATGACCTCATCCTCAATATAAACAAGACAAAAGAAATAATAGTAGACTTCAGGAAGAACCCCTCCCCTCTGCTGCCTCTGACCATCAAAGGGACTGAGGTGGAGAGGGCTGACAGCCACAAGTTCCTGGGCCTGCAGGTGACACCATGTCTTGAGCTGGTCACTGAACACAGCTGCCACAGTGAAGAAAGCCCAGCTACACTTCATCAAGGGACTCAGAAAAGCTTTGCTGAACCATTGCCCCCTCACCCAGGCTTATAGAGGACAGGTAGAGAGCATCCTCACTACTGGCATCACAGTCTGGTACGGTAACACCACACAGGTAGAGAGAGAGGCTCTTCAAAGGGTCATAAAGACTGCAGAGAGGATCATTGGGACTGAACTGCCTGAACATAATCAAGGATCCACGCCACCCAGCTCACTCTCACACACAGAATTAGACTTTACAACAGCTTTTTCCCTGCTGCAGTAAGACTGATGGCAAATACAAAATGTAAGAATATATGTACAATAACTCCTCACTACCTCACCAAGTGTAATGACATATCCAACTCCACCATATGAATTACTAAGTGCAAAGTTTAAAGTTCACTGTGGGAAATACCATTACCCCATTTTTTTGTTTTAACATTTTGTTGCCTTTATGCAACTTTTATTTTAAGACTAAGTGTTCTCTCTGGCTTTTGACTCCTTACCCGACTCCAAAGGAGAGCTGCACAAGACTTCCTAAATGCTTACACTGTCTGTTTATGCATAAATGGCAAATAAAAATCTTGACTTGGCTTGAAACACTCCCCCATGCTGACCCCAGAAAGATGACAACATAACTCCCAAGTTCCCAAACAGTTTTTATTTTGAATAATTGTTACTGCTGTACATATAATTTTTATTTTTGTGCATTCACACAAAGGAGGACAGGAATAATTATGGCTGAACACCCTTAAAAGTTAATAAATTACACTTAGTGTTGGACATTTTAGATCAGGGCTTTTTAAAACTATGCTTAAAAGGAACAGTCTGCTGGCAGTGCCACAGTTAGGACTGGAGACATTATCGGGGTTTTTCTATTATAGCAACCTGCTGAAATGTGTCGCACTGACCAACACTTGTCACAGGTTCTGCGTTTGTTTCCACTATGGTGCCCCTGCTTTGGAGGTGCGTACTGGTAGCTAAATTTCAGCACCCCTCAGGAAGTAGTATTAAAATCAAGTACCAGGACTGCAAGGGAGGAAGGGGTATGTGTGCGCAGAGCAGTCACTGGTGATTGGTTAAATGTCCATGTCTTCACACCTCAAGCATTAGCATTACAAGCACCATGTGTAAACACACAGCTGACTGTGTGTTAGAGGGGAGCAGCCCCTCCCTCCTCTAAACAGAGGCCGACAGAGAGAAAATACAGTGGAAAAACAAAGCAGGACGGTCTGCGTCAACCCCGGAGACTATGTTTGCTGATGGTTAAGGGAAGTATGGGGTATACCGCTCGTTAGGTTCCGACAGTGAAAACGCAGCATATGAGATCATAGCAAAGCATTTGTGAGCTTCAGAGGTAAATTGTTGCCTCAGCTTCGGACAATACAATTCAAAGTATAGGTTTCCTTAGCTTGTTGGATTTTTTCTGCATTTGCCAGAGGATGGCAGCAAAGAAACTACTGAGTCATATTGTAATATGAGCAATTCATTTATAGTGTACAACACCTAAAGGTCTAAAAGTATGTTTCTCCTCAAACTATTAAAGGTACTATAAAAATGCCTATTCCAAATGTCAAAATATTGTTTGATAAATTGAGAAAACATGCATTTAAATGCCAGCAGCAGATAGAAGTGAGAGCCACTCCACCAGATGTAGGTTAGCCATAAAACTATTGGTTTAAAACTTCACTTTGTTATTTAATAAGGGATTAGTGTGTTTTATTTAGACTTAGGGTTGAAACAGTTAACTGAGCCAAAAGTCGGTAGCAGTTTTCCCTCTGTTCTATTCAGTACTGTGAAGCATCACTATGGGGTCCTGATCAGGACAATGACACATAACAAATGACTGTGTACTGCAACAAGGTGCCCATAAGCAAGGCAACAGACCTCCAAGTGATCTCATACAGCAACAGAAGTCTGTCTGTGCAGCTCTTAATCAACATGGAAATGAAAGGAACTAGCAAGAGAGATCATATCTCTCCCATATTAGCTTCTCTCCACTGGCTCCCTGTAAAATCCAGAATAGAATTTAAAATCCTTCTAACATACAAAGCCCTAAATGACAAGGCTCCATTGTATCTTAAAGACTTCATACTGCCTCATCATCCTAACAGAGCACTTCGCTCTCAGAGTGCAGGTTTACTTGTGGTTCCTAGAGTCCACAGAAGTAGAATGGGAGGCAGAGCCTTTAGCTATCAAGCTCCTCTCCTAAGGAACCAACTCCCAGTCTCAGTTCTGGAGGCGGACACCCTCTCTACCTTTAAGATTAAACTTAAGACTTTCCTTTTTGATAAAGCTTATAGTTAGCGCTGTGTCAGGTGACCCTGAGCCTTCCATTAGTTATGCTGCTATAGGCCTAGACTGCTGGGGGTCCCATGATGCTCAGAGTTTCTCTCCTCCTCTCTCCATGCATCTACAATATATGCCATCTATGCAATCTAAGTCTAATACTCTTCTTTTTTTTTTTTTTTTTACCAACTCCTGAGGTAAATATCTGTTTAGCTGCAAAATGCTCCGCTATGTTCCCCAGTTAATATCTTTGTCTGTCTGCTGCTGAGCAGGTAGTAGTGTATTGTGGTTTATCAGACCCTTTTTCACTCAACGCAGCTGCCTGCTGCTGCTTAGAAACAAGGTTAATGTTTGCAGAGTTAAAAAAAACAAACAAAACAAAAACAAAAAAAACAAGCCAAAGGCTACTAAACTTCTCCGTGGAGCTGAGAGCAACTACAGAGTTGGTGATAATTCTCTTTAGAAGTCTACAAGTGACCACTTTCATATTACACAGTGATCCACCCCACTGTTAATATAAAGCACTTACTGCAGGTTTGGGCGTCACTAATCACTAAAATGTACATGTAGGATTCTTACATGTTATACTGTACTTTCCAGGTTTTCAATCTTAAATGATTATCTGATGAGGGTAGATTATGCAAGTGAGGCAGACAGTACTTGTTTAGAATGAGACATGAATAATCAAACTAAGTAAAAATTAAAGTTCTGAGAAGTTATTGGTGGGATAAGTCAATACCTTCAGAACCAAACGGACTTGTCAGTGATATTTCACACCTGACTCATTCATTTAATTTTTTTGTGCTGCCCAATATATCTTTTCTGTGTTGACAATTGAAAGGAGAAGCTATCCAAAATCCTAATAATGCATACAGCATGGAGGTTTTGCAATAGCAGGCAGTAATGATACAAGCAGACAGTGTATATGTGTGTTTTTAATGCAGTTAGCTTCATAAGTACCTTCTTGTCGTGTCTGTATTCACATTATCTGAAAGAACTGTCACTGTACTGTCCTCTTAGTCCTGGAACTCTGGCAGCTCAACTAGAGATGTGGTGTATTGCGCTACAGATTTTACTGTGACTACATCAATGCTTACCGTGTGAATCAATATCCTCTCTATGTAAAAGCCAGTGTGACTGGCCTTTCTGCCATGATGGCCAGCACACTGCATTCAACAGGAATGGAAACAAGTTGATTGATGGCTAATGGTAACATCAGCCCTGATCACATAAAATGACAGTGCCTTCCTCTTATTGGTTCCCCAAGCAAGCTGTGATGATGGCAGACACAGTGAGCTTGGCGCCTGTAGGCAGGAAACATGAAGAAGTGCTCAGTCAGATCTGTTTGGTCCTGCAGAGGGTTTCTTCTTGTAGCTGGGCCAGCGGCACACTGGGCAGCAGTGTCTGCCTCCTGCCAGCCACACCACAATGCACTGCTGGTGAAAGGCATGGCCACAGGGCAGACCCATCAGCAGATCTTCAGTCACAAAGTTCTCCAGACACACCACACACTCTGAACACTGCAGCACATCACAGGGCCAAACTGACCAATCACAGCGTTGCTGGTTAGAAACCACTTCAGGTGTGAGATGGCCATCCTCCAGTGACCCGTCCACTGGCAATAAGCTTCTGTTCCCTTGACAACACTCAAGGGCTGATGCAGCAGCACACACACACTGACAGCTGCTGCTGGGGTCCATGTTGCTGTACACACACAGCTGTGTGTTGCTGCCCTGACAGCAAAGCGAACTCTTATGTCTTTTGCTATTGTGTGGTGTTCTGTTGGGACTGGCAGGAGGAGACTCCCTGCCCATCGTGCTCTCTCTGTCAGAATATGAACTTTCTGTGTCTTCAGGCTGCTGGCCACCAGAACACTCCCCCCTGTGGTGACCCTCGGCTCTGAACCTCCAGGTTGGCAGGGCTTTAATGTAGTCCATGTTTACTAAGGGGCGTAGCCAGAGATCTGGAAAAAACAAACGCTCAAATAAGAAGTTGGGATCATCCTCCCAGTCTGAGTGGTCAGATGGGGCCTGCTGCAGCGATGTGATTGGGTGGAGCAAATAGGAAGTGTACCAGTCCCACAGATTGGCTAGCCACTCCAGATTGGTGGTGCTGTCCTCTAGATTCCTGACACCACAGCGGCGTTTCTTTTCAAAGTAGTCCACCAGCAGGCCGTGGGCCAGGTAGGTGGACAGGAAGAGAGCAGGATGGGATGAGTAGAAGGTCCAGTCAGCTCTCACCAGGCTGGCCAGTGTCGTGGTGTCAGCATAACGAAGCAGCTTCAGACTGTAACAATATATAGTGTCCAGATAGGGCAGCTGGAGGAGAGCCTGGAGGGAGTGATCAATCAGTGATTAGTGATCAATTATTACCACTTGAACTCTCCACTCAATTAAGGTAGTCATGGTAAGGTTAGTCTATGGCTATATCCACTTTATTACGTACACCTTTCTAACACAACCCAGTGTTACAGGGTTACTGGCGTACATGTCAGCTTGAAGCAGTCTGCCCATTCTCCTCTGACCTCTTCTCATTACACACCGTCACCTCAGGCCTGCTGCTCACTGGATGTGTTCCCCCCCCCATAATTCTCTATAAAATCTGAGACTTATCGTGAAAACCAACAGCATAGCTGTTTGAAAGATACTCAAGCCAACAATCTTTTCATACTCACTAAGATCACATTTCTTCCTCACATCACTTCCTGATGTTTGACCTCCTAAACATGTCTGCAGGCTTTGCTGTTATGAGTGGCTCATTACATATCTGAGCAGGTGCACAAGCCTACCAAAGAAAAGTGTCTACTGAGTGTATAAACTCCTAGACACATAAAAAAGGTTTTGCACAGTCAGCTTAGTAAATCTTATGTGATTACAATTTGTATTACTGACAACGTTTAGCAATTCATGCAAGTGGCTCTGCAATGGAGCTCGGCACAGCGGGGAGGGGTGAGAGAAAGGGTGTGTTGGAGTATGTAATGTGAGTGTGGCAGGAGACTTCAGCTGGGCTGTCTGAAAGAGCTTGAAGGCATTGTTTCATTTATTTACAGACCATATATATATAGCTGCCAGCAAAAGGTATGTTTACATTCAGTGCTTCTAACCAAGTATCCTTTAGGCCTAAACACACATGATGCATGGATTTCCTTCCTCATAAAACATTTACAAAGCTGAATTTTTGAACATGGTTTACGACCTCACTGTCCTCTTCTTCACTGCTGTAGTGCCACATATCCATGTGCATTACCGTGACCTGAAGATCAGCGGGATAACATGAAAGCCACTATGTATGCAATATGTTTTGCATTACCCATGTGACTGTACAAATGCATGTGCCTGCACTTGTGAAAAACAAACAGCTCCGTAGAGCTGCTCTTGGTCAAAAACTCTACAGGAATCTTTAACTCTTGAGTTCAAATTCAGGACAGCTGTGAGAACTGTGTGGTGTAGATGATTTCCTACCAGAACAGGAAGCCAGGACACCAGCAGTAAGGAGTTGTAGGTTCCAAGCGTTCTGATCAGAACCACAAATCGTTTCACTGTTGCTCCCTATCCATGAAAATGAATACGTTACAAAATCTACTTGACAATTAATACAGAACTAAGTGTATGTCTCTACTCTTCATCTCCAGCACTATGTATAAGGAGTCTAATCAATGGTGAAAAAAGTATTTGGATCTTTCATTTAAATAAATAGAAAACAGGAAGTGACCTGTGTAATGAAGAGGTCCATCCAGGCCAGCAAGTTTATGATGACCAGACTTAGGACAAACAGATCATTAACTTCCGGCTGGACAGACCGCAGGAAAGTATCCATAGCAGTCAGGGACAGGAATTCTCCCGTACTAGAGAGGAGGAGATGAGGGGAAGTGAAGGGAGGAGAGGAAAAAAAAACAACAAACAATTCAAACATCACATCAGCGTTGTTTGTATAAGCAATAATCTATTATCAATTCCATGTTCAATCTTTACCTGTTGCCATAGCGATAGATGCCCTCAGGCATCTTGAGGATGTAGGCGGGGCTCTGTGTCACACCGATCTCTGATAAGCTGCTGTGGTTATCCCAGTGACGTATGTCCACAAAGATGAACTCAATCCTGCCGGTGAACTTGACAGACAGGGAGGAAAAGAAGGCGGGTGGTTGGGACAAATGGGCGAACAGAAACATCTTGACCGGGTAGGCCGGATCAGAGCGCCACTCCTCCACAAGCTGCTCAGATTGACGCAGCGTTTTGATTCGATGAACCACATGTGAGGTCATCCAACGGAAGATATGTTCGGTTTCAGTGCGATGACCATTGTATTCTTTTAGCATGACTTTGCCCTTTGATGCTGAAGTCTGAGGGACAGACATGATGAGAGTGGAGCGCTGCCAGCCGCGCTTGATACATGACCTGGTGGACAGAACACAGAACCTCCATGTCAGTACCACTGACACATATTATTTGCTTTATATGGAAACAGACAAATACTAGATGTGCTTTACAGGGTTCCTGTTATAAGACCTTTTAATACCACAGAGTAGTGTCTTAGTACTTATCTGAAGGTCTCACCTGAGAACCGACTGTATTTTTACTTGGTTTTGTCTTGGTCAAAGACCAAAGAGTCACCCAGAAAACTGGATGCTTGCATACTTTACATGCTGGCTAGCTAGTAAATCTCCCCCCAGGGAACTTTAAAGTCTTATGATTATACTGTATCGTTTATCAGACTTTGAAAAGCTATCAAATACATGTAGTACAGTAAAAAGTACAATATTTTCCTCTAAAATGCAGTGAAATCAAAGTATGATAGCAGAAAGTGAAAATACTGAAGCAATGTACAGATACCTCAAAAGTGCACTTATGTACAATACTCAAGTACTTGTACTTATTTACTTTGCACCACTGTCTCATGGTATGCTTCTACATACACACATACTGTATAAATATATGGCAATGAAAGAGGTGAATGAAAATATTAATTTGTTTTCTGGGGGTGTTTTATGTGAATGTATAGATCATTCAGGTTGCTTTGAGGAATG